CCTTCATACTATATGCGACTTGTACGTAATACTTGCGAGGATGGAGAAACCGGTGCGTTGCCCAAACCTGCTGGTGGAAGTATTTCTGCTGCTGCTGTTTCGCCACCGCCCGTCGCCGCATCGTTTTCTGCCGCTGCATCGCCCCCGTCGCACCATGCGCGCGCTCCGCAGGACGACGGCGACGACGCGCCGAAGAAGAAGGCTCGCTTGGGCAGCGCCAGCATGTTGACGGGTCTTCCTCCGGGCACACCTTTTACTTAAGGGCGCGATCGTTTTTTTTTGAACGCCACTTATGATGCCGCCGCCCGAGCGCAGGGCCGCTGTCCTCGCGCCGAGGCAGCCAGATGGGCCGCCGCCTGCGCGCATTCACAGAGCTCCTCTGCCGCCTCTGCCACCAGGGCCGCCGCGCTGGGTAGAGCCGCTGCCGCCACCACCACCGCCTCCGGCGAGTATTGTTGCCGCCAGCAGCGACGACGAATCGAGCAAGACTCGCGCGTCTCGTTCAGGATCCCCGACTTTTCCTGCCGAGGGGGACTTGGCCACGGAGGGCGGTGAGCGGGGCGGAGATCCAGTCGTGGACTTCAAGCCGATTGCCGTCGGCGCAGTTCAGCTGCATTTGCTTTTCGAGTGCGGCAAGAAGAGGAACCTCAGCACGCGCATTGATCCTCGCTCGTTTCCATCAGAGCCGTCGAAGGGCCGCGCGGGAGAACAGGGCGCTGCGAAATTGGCGCGTGTGAATTGCAAAATGGATGCGTTCAACACTCAGATCAAGTCCCCGCCGGCATGGTCTCTTTGGAAGAAGAGTTCTATGGGTCGCTCCAAGGACTCGCAGTTTTGGACGCGTATAGAAGATCGTGTTGCCATGAGTTCTTCTATGGATGCTGAGGAGTTCTATCGAGTAGCAATATTTGCGCAGCCTTCGAGGATCCACGTTGACGGAACATCGTATTTGTGCGCGCCACTGCAGCTGGATCAGCCAATGCTAAAAGTCGTGCCAAATATCGCTTTGGATTGTGTAACATCAGTATGCAAGATGAGTTGTTATCTGCGTGCGTTGCCGGGTTGTCTGCAACAGGCGCGTCTGTTACCGACGAGGAGATCGTTGAGAAGGTGATCAGGAACACCGATCCGTTTCGCGGACGAATGGGGGCCAACCTGGCCGGGGTGCTGCTCTGCGTCATCGGCGTCGCGTTCGCCCGCCCAGTCTCGATCGACACGGTGGCGCGCTCAGATCGGAGGCCTTCGGTTGCAAACGACATCGTCGAGCGCAATCCTGATCTCGTCGTCGCCTACACATCATCATCACATGATAATGTGATCGGTGTTTGTTTCTCTGTTTTGGCTCAATAGATTGGTCCTGTATCTGTTGCTCTTTGTGATGAGCCTGGTTGCTCAAGCCTTGAGGTCACTAGCGCGCTGAACTCGCACCCCGAGCCAGACGCGGACATCGAGTCAGAAATCCCACGGTTCCCCCAGGGAGTCAGGTCAGAAAGTTTGACTGTATAGACTTGCGCTCACAGCCTTCCACGCTGAAGCCGCAGAGAAGAGAGTTCGAGACGATATGGGCGCGATCATCGGTGATGACGACGTCGCTACAGTCTCGATGGAACGCCTGCGGGACGAGGAACAGGATATCCTGGAACAAATCAACCTACCTGGCGAGCCGAAGCACGAAGGACAGAGATGGAAAGCGTGGTTGCAGATCCCGCTCCGCACAAGGATCGCCATTCGACGACTGCGCAGACAGTTTGGTCATGTGCCGAATCGTGTTCTCGTACAGCTATTGAGAGTCTCAATGATGCCATCGGGTTACATTGAAGCCGCCAAGAATTATCGATGTGAGCCTTGCGAACACCACAAACTGCTAGCTCACGCACAAGTTTGCCTTGCCCAAGAAGTTCTTCTTCAACCATGCAATCTGCATCGGCTGACCAGAGGTAAAGGCACAAGTGGAGAACGTTACACCTTCTTGAACATGGTGTGCCAGGGTACAACATTCCAGCGTGTGCTCTTTGTCGAGCAGGGAGTGGTACGCCATCTTCGAGAGCATGCCTCACTTCACTTCAGCAACACTGGTGTGCATGGGCGAGTTTGCCCAAGAGAGTGGTGTTGGACCGTGGGCTTCACAGCAGAGGAGTGCTTCTGCAATGGGTTCAGAGTCAAGGGATCGACCTCCGCGACGTCGGAGTCGAGTCTCCCGAGCAGATAGGCCGCACCGGGAGACATGGTGGACTGTGGAAGAGCATCTTCAAGAAGGTGGTACACGACAAGAATGTTTCTGGACTCGATGACGTCATCTCTACTGCGTCAGAAGCCGACAACACGAGGGATGAGATGCCACGGGTCGGCGGATCTGCGCCTGCGCATCGGGTACTCGCAAGGATGCCTCGTGTTCCAGGGAGTCAGTTCGACGACGAGGAAGCTTTCGACTTAAGAGTGCTTGCGAATGTTGCAGAGGACGGAGCCGACGAGTTTTCTCGCCAGGCTGCGATCTGGGCGTCTGCCAGAACAGCACTCGCAGAACACGACGTCGGGAGTAGGACGGCAAGGGCCGCTCTCCGAAAGGCAACACCACTTGCTGGGAAATGCCAGGTAGGTGATGTAGCATGCTTTCGCAAGAGGCCGACCGACGGCGAGGTTACCGCAAAGTAGAGCACTGGTTCTCGTATCGTTGGGTTCGATGGCAAGTGCGCGTGGGTGATCAGAGAGGGCGTGCCTGTCTGCGTGGCTGCCGACAGGCTTTGACCCTGTACAACGGCGGAAGCGCTGGCTTACCAATATTTCTCTAAGCACCATAACGGTGGTGTTGAGAGGCATGCACCTCCAGACGGGCAACAGCAGTCATTCGTAGACGAGCGACGTGAACTGCCAGAACGACAGGCGCAAGAGCATTCCGCGGAATAACATCCTATGGCGACGGAAGAGCTGCCGCGGATCCCAGAAGACCCCGAGTTCATAGAGGAAGTATTTCGCCATTTCGCCAAATTGAAGAAATTGAGCTGTCATATGGAATGATCGTTCCTGTGCCGCCCGCGTCGAGGTCGTCACAGGTGACTCGAACGCCTCTTCAGAGGTCGTTACTAGTCGACGCCCCGCACGGCATGCAGAGTCGCAGCGAGGTGATGCGCCGAAGAGTCGAGAATGCCGATGGTAGCGCAGGAAGGGGCCCCGATTCTGTTTCGGAGCCAGCTCCCGAACCAGTGAACCCACTTCTTGAGGCCACGCGCAGGGCCAGAACATCCGGGCCGGGCATGGATTGCTTTGCACGTAGAGAAGCTTCACTCGCTTTTAAGCCACATGAATCGCTTGTCGGATTCTTCAATGAACGCACCGTTCATTCGCCGCAATCTAAGAATAAGCTAAAGAGTGCAAAGAAACTTATATACCATCGGGAATCTGAGGACGTTAAAAGCGGTTTACGACGGGCAAGACAAGACGAATTGGGAAAAATGGCGGAAGTTCGACGCCGCCGTACCTATTGATTCAGTGGGGCTGCAAAATCTCCCCGAGTAAGGATATCGTATGGTACTTACGCAATGGATTGAGATTGGCAAGAACGAACATATCCGTAGACCGGGTGGACCTCCGGTTGCACCCCAGTACAAGAGTAGATATGTCGCACGTGGAGATCTGAAAGAGTCGTTGGGTACCCGCACGGATTTACCAACATGCGAACTCGAAGGGCTAGGGTTGATAGTGCTATGGGCTGCCGGTGCAAAGCAGACGCTCAAGCGTGCCGACATTGCATCTGCGTATTTCCAGGGGCAGGAACTCGACCGCCTCATGCTGCTCAGGCCACCGCCCGACGAACTCGCAGGGGTACCGGATGGTGGGGCATTGATCGCGCGCGCGCGCCCGTCGATGGCACGCGTGACGCAGGACGAGGCTCGTGGAAGAAAATTCGCGAAAGTTTTGAAACTCATGGTCTGAAGGATAATCGCATCATGCCTGCTTTGTTCAGTATCCACAATGACGAGCATGAGATCACGTGGGTGCCATACTGTTGGCTGCAGATGATGAAAGTCAGAAAGTCATGGACGCTGTACTCGCGGAGTTTGATACTCGCGAGATCAAGGCGGACAGTGTCCGCTATTGCAGTTTATTGACGCCAGTTGGGCATGAGGAGAGGATATAGTCAAAGGTACAATCGAGCCCCTCAGGCCACAAAGGGCTAGGTTCAATGAGCTCGCAGGGCATGGGTTCATCGAGGGGAACCAGTGAGCAAGTTCGCCCCATATGTACACCTAGTAAAGTTATTGAACGAGTAGGTAAACCTACACTACAAGTAGAGACCCTGTCGTGTTTATGGGGCGTAGAATCTGGTGCGCGCATTTGTGCCGCCATCGCAGATGCGCGTGGCATGCCTGGCGCAGGAAAGAAGCTGCCAACCCTTATGGATGATGGATTGCGAAAGCCTTGAAGAACATCTCATAGCACCAACAATGGGTAAGACAGAAAAGCGCTTGAGTATCGATTTGAGTAGTTTCAGACAAGACAGTCGGATTAATGGAACGGAAGAAGTAGAGATGTTACATCCACGCACATTTTGTGATAATATCCGATGGACCGATATAAGCATTATGCCTGTTGCTTAAATGCCGAAGTATATGCCCACATATATCCTTGTTAAGATCTTACGTGCAGGTTCGTATGACGTAACGCCAGACCCTGAGTCTACCTTGGAGAAGGTCAAGAATAATCTGGCGAGGGCCAGGATGAGTGCTATCCCATCGGGGAAGTGAGTGGCTGAGTCCTGACTGCCTTTGACTTGAGTGATCCCAACATGGGAATACTCCTGTTACTGCCCCTAGAGGCTTACCGAGACCAGCGGTACTGCGCGGTCTACTGGCTACTTCGTGCTAACGTTTCACGGGTGTGAGATAGTGCATGTGTCACCTGTGTATATGCACCATTCGCTGCCGTTTGACCTCTAGGGGTCCCTTTTTTGCCATTGCGCTGAAACGCATCATTACCACACCCTCACTCACCCCCCCCCTCAGGCCGGCAAGTTCAGGGACGACTCGCCGTCCCCGTCGTGGGGGCGCTCTGGCAAGGCCGGGAGCCCGGACCAGCGCGCCGGCGTCAGGGGCTGGAGGGCCCCAGCGTCGGGTGTTGCTGGAAGTGCCCCTGGCCCAAGGGGCATGCCCCCAGGAATTGCGAGGCCCGGAGGGCCCCAGGGGTTCCAACATGGAGCGAGCAGCTGGGGGCGAATGGGGGCACCTTCTAGCAATCCGCGACGGAGATTCAATTTCTGGAACGTTTCGGCACAATGTCCGGAGAGCTTCAGACCCAGACATGTGACGTCCTGATTTTTCCATACGGGGTCTCTGGAAGTCTCGACCCGCTCCCCGGGACCAGTTTTTCATCCTGACTCGTTTTTTGACGGTCCCCCCGAGGCCGAAAATTGCCACACCTTTTCAACGTTTCGGCACCATGTCCCCAGAGTTTCAAACGCTTTCCCCAAGGTTGGCTCTTCGTAGTGGGTACAGCTGGCACGAGGGTTTAGTCGGACATGTCCCTCTACAGGAGGAGAATTCCCAAATAGTCGAAATAATAGTTTGGGGACGATTTCCTGATTATTGTATATTTCTTATTTTGTTTTGCTTATTCTATTTTTTCATCCAAAATTCCCCATGTAGGCGGACATGCACGACCTAACACGAGGGGCGAGAGCAATCATGGCTTGGGGGAGGGGTGCTCTCTCCTGCTCTTCGCCGCTGGGCCCCTCCACCTTTTGAAGTGCGATTCGCTGTGGATGTCCCCTATGGGGCCTTGGGCTCCTGGCGAGGGGGCCTCCTCCTCCTCTTCCTCCTTCTCCTCTTCCTCCTCTTCCTCCTCCTCCTTCTCCTCTCCCTCCTCCTCCTCCTCCTCCTCCTTCTCCCCACCTCCTCCTCCTCATCATCATCATTATCCTCATCCTCATCCTCATCCTCATCCTCATCCTCTCCTCCTCCTCCTCCTCCTCCTCCTCCTCCTCCTCCTCTTCCTTCTCCTTATTCTCCACCTCCACGTTTGGCCGTCCCCGTGCCCGGCTTGAGGGCTCCAGGGGCCCCGATAGGGAGGCCGAGCGCGCAGAGAAAAGTGCCAGACTCGAGGTGGTCCGACTCGCTGGAGGTCTTGGGCCTCCTCGTCCGCGCCTCGTGGCGTGCTTGGTAGTCCCCCAACCCAGACTTGATCGCGTCATACAAAGAATCAGGACGGGAGGTTTTTGGCCAACTTCGGCCTCGGGGGGCCCTCGCCAGGCCTCGGGACCGTCAAAGGTCGGAGCTCAAGAGACGGGGGTCAATGCAAACGGGGGTCAGCCAGGGCACCGGATCCTGCAGGATCCTGCAAAGACCTCCTCTGGCTGACCCGGGTTAGCGAGCCGCTCGTGGCCGCGAGGCGGCCGCGCATATTGGTTGACCTGGGTTTGCGAAGCCTTGCGTTGCAGTTGTTTTTTCCTGCATTGCTGTTTTTTTGGTTTCCTGCTGACCCGGGTCTGATGAACCGGGTTTGGCAGACCCCCCGAACAAAAACAACTCAGGATGAAAAGCCGGTCCCGGAGAAAGGGTCGGGACTTCCAGGGACCCCATCTTGAAAAGTTCAGGACGTCGCATGTCTGGGTTTAGTCCCCAAACGAGGTGGCGACAACACCTGGCGGAGAGTATCGGGCGATTCGGTGTCACCACCCGGTTTGGGTGTGGTTTTTCGAGGATGTCCCGAAAGGGGCTGAGTCCCCACGAGTCACAGAACCCGGCGGTGACACCGTGTTCCAAAACCCGGCGGTGTTTTTTTGGTGGTTCCAGGTCACCACTTGGTATCTCACCTCCTGGTTTTGGGGCTCCCAACATGCGGGGGTGGTGGGTGGAGGAGGCGGGGAGGGGAAGGAGCGGGGAGCACGAGGAGGAGCAGCACTGGCTTGCGCCGCGCCGCGAAGCGAGTCCACCTGCCTGTTGGCATCAAACGGATTGCCCTGTGCAACCTTTCAGATTTGCAGCAGAGTGCTGCACATAGAGAGATAACGAGCGAGAGAGAGAGGGAGCTTGAACTATGTTCGGCGACCCCCCTTGGCCAATGAAGGATTAGGACATCACCGAGGAGAATAAGGAAGGCCGAGACGAGGGAGGATCAAGGAGAATGCAGCTGATAAACGCTTCCGACATTCTTACTGCAGAATTTGAGCCCGATGGACTGGAAGTTCATTGCTCCCGAAGACTGCTTCTGGCGAGCTCTGAATTGCTCTGTGGTCTTATCCGAGTCGTTGGTTGGGTCCCTATGCTTTTGCTGATCCACTCCCCCCGCTGATGCTCCCGACCAAGCGACCCCCCCCAATCCCGAGCTCTGGTGCTACTGCCTAGCCATGCTGACAGCACGCGGAGGGGACAGAGGAGGATTGGTGAGAGGTTTTGAATCCAGAGGGGCCCAGTTCAGTCGATTGCTTCGCCCCGGACGGTGTTACTATCAAGGACACATCGCGAAGCCTTCCAGTCAGAGCCATATGGCATACATTAGTCAAGCTTGCATGGGCAGTCTGAATCACCATGAGGTGAGGGTGCTTGTTCTTGTCCGTCTGTCAGACATTGTACTCTTGACTTCCGTAGTCTTCTCGGTGTCGTTGAGGATCTTGACCGCGTCCGTCGATTTCTTGCAGTTGGTTGCTATTTGCCAGAGTATACCAGCACCTCAATGAGTCAAGCACGTACTCCTTTACACTACTGCTCGCGCCTGCTGGAAACGCGAATTCTCATACGCCCCCGTCCGCGTAGGGCATGCAAGCGCTAGGACCATGCATGAGGAAGTCTGGGTCGAGAGCTCGTTTCTGAGAATGCACAGCCCTCCGACCACGTTGATGTCGGCATTCCGCTGCTTCATTATGTTGCAGCGTGAGGGTTCTCAGACGAGAACCAGCACGTGAAAACGATCCGCCTTCCATCCATGGATCTTTTTGTTTCCCGTAGCCATTTTGGCTCAAGCTATTGTTTGGGCGTTTGTTGCTCACAGTGCCAAGCTCTGGCGTCACTGGACCTAAGTCGACGCGCTCGACCTGTTGGACACGAGGGGACCCCAGCCTGCAACGGCTCGCAATGGCGGCCGAGTCCCAGCCGAACGCTCGCATGTATGTGGCCATCAGCACCGCGATGATCGGTGCGATCATGTTCGGGATCGACTGCGGCAACTTCGGATCCGTGCAGGGGTTTGGCAGCTTCCGCGACACCTGGTGCCTCTGGAGCTACGGCGACGCCACGTCGTGCGGGGACGACGCCACCCATGGGGCGGCCAGTAATGCCAGGTGGCTGAAGGACTTCGTCACGCCGGCCTCGTCGCTGCTCTTCGCGGGAGCGGCGGCGGGGAGTCTGCTGCTGGGGCCGCCCGTCGCTCGCCGCTTCGGCCGCCGCCCGTGCATCTCCGCGGGGGCGGCCATCTGCCTGCTCGGCTGCCTGCTGACCTCCTACGTCACCCTCGGCAGCGACGCCGTCTTCTTCGCCGGGCGGTTCGTCACCGGGTTCGGCATCGGCGTGTGCACCTTCGCCCTCCCGCTGTACAACTCGGAGGTCAGCGCCCCCGCGGTCCGCGGGGCCACGGGCTCGATGTTCCAGGTCAACGTGGTGCTGGGGCAGCTGGTGGCGTCCGTCGTGACCTACTTCGACGACGACTGGCGCGTGGGCATGCTGCTGCCTGGCATCGCGGGCGTTGCGGTGGCCCTCGGGGTCTGGCTCGCGCCCGAGTCCCCGCGCTACGTCATGGCGAAGCGCGGCCTCGAGGAGGGTGCCCTCGTGCTGGCGAAGGTGCGCGCCGGCAGCGTGAGCGCCGAGGCCGCGGAGGTGATGGAGCAGTTGGAGCACGAGAGCAGCGCCGGCCAGGTCCGGTGGCTGGACATGGTGGTGGGCTCCGAGGGCCACCCCAGCCTCCGCAGGCGCGTGCTGATCGCCTGCTGGCTCCAGTTCGCACAGCAGTTCACTGGGATGAACATGGTGATCATGTTCTCGGCGGACGTCTTCAAGCTGATGGGTTTCGAGAACCCCTTCGGCGCGAACGTCGCCTTCACCGCGCTGCAGGTCGTGGGGATCGTGGTAGGCCTAGCCCTGCTCGACTCCCAGTGGGGCGGCAGGCGCATCCAGCTCGCCCTGGTCACGGCGACGATCTGCCCCTTGCTCGTCCTCGTGGGCTTCTCCTCCAAGCTGGGCTGGTCCACAGACCTGGAGCTGGCGCTCCTGTGCCTGTTCGCCTTCGTCTGGCAGCTGGCGTGGGGCATGATCCCGTGGGTGTACCCGTCCGAGCTGTTCACCATGGCGGAGAGGGACAGGGCCACGTCCCTGGCGGTGTTCGTCCAGTACGCCGCCAACGCGGTGCTCACGGTCGTGGTTCCCGAGCTGCTCGACGCGCTCGGCTTCGCGGGGATGGTCTGGTTCTTCGCGGCTTTCAATGCGCTGAACCTGGTCGTTATCGCCGCGTGCATCAAGGAGACGAAGGGGGTCCCGCTCGAGGAGGTACCCCGCCTCTTCGCCGCCTCGGGCGTGGGAGCCAAGCCCGCGA